TATTCTTCATCCTTTGCATTTCTATATAAGCTTCAGAACCAGATACAATTTTACAAACTTCTGGGAATTTAAATAGAATTGCACTGTGATCACAAGTGATCATTAGAGGTCACTTTGGGAGAAATGACATTTAAAAATAGCAAGTGTTTCACCTTTCTTTGGGGGCTTCAACATCTTTGGTTGGATTTACTCAGGTATTTTATATTTCTGAATAGCATTTCAAGTGTTATCTCTTTGAATTTTTAAATTTTGTGTTTGTTGCTTATATATGGAAGTAAAATGGATTTCTGTACACTGATCTGGCATCCAGTTACATAGCAATTGACCTATTTTGCTACTTAGCTATCTTGTCAAATTCTAAAAGATTTGCTACGAAAAAATTTAACCATCTGTGAATAATAACAGTATTATTTTTTTCTTTGAATTCCTTACTTACTTTGTTTCCTTTTTGTAGCAGCAAAGGAAAGGAAACTCCCAGGGCAATACTGAAAAGAAGTACAGTAGTCTTCCCTCACCCATGGGATATATTCCAAGATGCCAGGTGGGTCCTGAACCCACAGATACGCTGAACCCTCTCTCTACTGCACTATTTTTCCCTACGCACACACACCTATGATAAATTTTCACCTTTTTCACTTGCAGGTTCTCCTCCTTTCACGCTTTGGGGTCAATACAGAATTAAGTAAAAATAAGGATCAGTTCCACATAAACAGTATGACACCACCACAGTCCCCAGAAGAGCTGAAAACTGGGATGGACGCTAAGTGACTAACAGGTGAGTTACCACGCACGGCATGGACATGCTGGGCACAGGGACAACTCACATCCCACGTGGGATAGCATGAGATTTCATCACGCTACTCAGAACAGCACAAAATTTAAAACTTATGTATTGTTATTTCTGGAAAGTTACACTTATTACTTTCAGACTGCAGTTGACAGCAGGTAACAAAAATGTGAAAAGTGACACGGCGGATAAGGGGGCTATTACTGTAAAGTGAGGAGGCAACTGTCTTACTCTGCTGTTGTGATATTTGCCAAGAAACCTTTTGTTTTTAAATTTAATGAAAAGTTTAATATATATAACCTGATTCTAGGGTCATAGTAAAACAGGCCCTTTGGAGAGGGGACATGAATTTCTCTGCTAAACAAGCCACTACTTGTATTTGTTTCAAGGCTTCTAGCATGACACTGTTTCCTTATATTACATCATACCTCACTCCAACACTGTACTGTGGCCCACTCTTTGCCATCTCTACAGATTCACTTATCACAAGATTCACAAAGGGATCAAACCCCTGCAGTAATCCATGGACATGTCTGCCACTGCTTGATTTTGATTTCAAAAGTAACTTTTTTTTTTTTTTTTGGCCCTACTGGGGTTTGAATTCAGGCCTCATGCTTGCGAGGCAGGCACTCTACCACTTGAGCCACAACTCCAGCCCTATTTTCTGTCTGGTTATTTCTGAGATATGGTCTCATTCTTTGCCCAGGCTGACCTGGACCAAGATCCTTCTGTTTTAGGCTTCCTGCCATAGCTGGGATGACAGGAGGGCATCACCACACCCACTTTTTTCTTCTGTAGAGATGCAGCCTTGCAAATTTTTGGTTTTTCCCAGGCTGGCCTGAAACCTCCCAATCTCAGCCTCCTGTGTAGCTAGGATTACAGGCTCATGGTGCCTATTGAGCAGGCTCAGAGCTCTTTGCCAGTATACTTATTATCAGAATACAGACACTCACTTATATTTTTTGTTTGCTAAGATTTTTACCATGAATGGTAAATTTGATCAAATACACTCTATTGAAATGAGATTTTCTCCTTAAAACAGCACATTACAATGCTTGATTTTTTTTTTTCAGTGCTACTTCACCCTTGCATTGCTGGAATAAATCTAATCACCTATAACATGTATCCTTTTCTCTATACTGCTGGATTTGTTTATTAGCATTTGGTTTGATTCTATGTTTGCTCAGGAGTGAAACTGGCCTTTGATACTGCCTTTCTTGTAATCATCTTGTTCTTACCCTTGTCTGAAGTGTCACACTGGTGCTGATCTCAAAAATGAGTTGAGGAGTGTGATCTTTTTTTCTACTTGTCATTAGAGTTTGGATAAACTCTATACCTACACTCTATATCTTTTCTTCCATCCCTGTTTTGCAGAATTCACTGTTGGCTCTAGGAGGCTTTTGCTTGTTTGTTTGTTTTTGGTGGTGGTACTAACGTTTGAACTTTAGGCCTCATGATTGTAAGGCAGGTAACTATACTTAAGCCATGCCTCTAGTCCCTATCTTTTTTGGGTTTTTTTTTTTTTTCTTTTTTTTTTGAGACAAGGTTTGCTATTGTAGCCTGGCTAGTCTTGAACTTGCAATCTTCCTGCCTCAGTCTCGCAACTGCTGGGATTACAGCTGTGTATCACTATGGCTGGCTTTCAGGAGTTTTTTATGCGAAGAATTTTACTTTAATTTCTTTTGTCTTCCCTTCCCCTCCCCCATGTCAATTTTTTAAATAGTCGAATGACTATTCAGGTTTTCTTTTTAAAAAATTCTCAATTTCAAATATATTAACAAAATGTGTTTGTGAAATTTTCTCTTAATGTCTGTAAAATCTGGATTAATGTGTCTGACCCTTTTATCCTTTGTATTAATCTTTTTTTCTTTTTGTTTTGACAGGATCTTACTATGTAGCTCAGGCTGATTTTTAAACTCACAATCCTGCCTCAACCTCCCAAGTGCTGGAATTACAGGCACATACCACCACGCACACCTGTAATAACTTTTTACACAGATTATTTCTTTAAGCTTCCCGGGGTGGTTATCAACTTTATTAGCTTTCAAGGAATTTTTTTTTTTTACTTTATTGATTATCTCTATTATGTTATGTGTTTCCTATTCCTTTATTATTTTCCTTTTACTTCATTTAATTGTTTTTTTAAAATACCTTGAAATGGATGCTTAGATCACTGATTTTCAGTCATTTTCTTTCCAAATATATGCATTTAAGGCAATAAATTTCTCCCCCTCCCAAATATTGTGATAGCTGCATCCCACAACTTTTGATATGCTGCATTACTATTATAATTTATTATAGAATTTTTTGTTTTGGTGGGATTGGGGTTTGAACTCAGGGCTTTGTGCTTGCAAAGCTGGTTTTACTGCTTGAGCCACACCTCCAGTCCATTTTGCTCTGGTTATTTTGGAGATGGGGTCTCATGAACAATTTGCCCAGGCTGGCCATGAAACGCAATCTTTCCAACCTCAGCCTCCCAAATAGCTACGATTGCAGGTGTGAGCCACTGGTGCCTGGCAGAATGTTTTAACTTCCATGTGACTTCTTCAGTAGACTGTAGATAGCAAAGTACTGATTGATTTAGAAATGCACATCTTTCATTATTGGTTTCTACACTAATTCTTCTGTGATGAGCAAATATTCTCCAAGTTACTTCATTTGTCTGGGTTTTGTTAAGATTCATTATCAGCCCAGCACATAACAGTTTTTAAGATTTTTTTTTTTTTTTTTTTTTTGCGGTGCTGAGGTTTGAACTCAGGGCTTCACACTTGCTAGACAGGCAAGCACTCTACCACTTGAGCCACTCTGCCAGCCCTGCTTTGTGTTGGGCTTTTTCGAGATAGGGTCTTGTGAACTATTTGGCCAGGCTGGCTTTGAACCGTGATCCTCTTGATCTCTGCCTACTGAGTAGTTTGGATTATAGGTGTGAACCACTGGTGCTCAGCTTATGAAGTATTTTAAAAGAAGGTATATTTTGCAGTTATGGAGTCATATATGTTAATAAGATCGAGTTGATTAAACACGTTATTTAAATCTTCTACATCCTTTCTGTATCTTTATATCTTTAACATGTCTCTCACAGGCCAAGTAAGAGATTTTAATCCAATCTAACAACCTTTATCTCCTAATTGGAACATTTAGTTTTTATCATTTAGTGTTAGAGCATAAATGTGTGTGTGGGTGGACTTAGATCTGTACCATATTAAAATTGCACTCTCCATTTCCTGCCAACTCTGTCCCTTTCCTCCATTTCTTACCTTTTGAATTATTTCTCCTTATTCTTATATTTAAGCATTCTTTTTGTGAGTTATCCTAAAAGTTACAACACAATCTTTGACTTTAAACAGTGCAACATGAATTAGTGCTTTTCTGTTTTCCCACACAGTAAACATTAACTCTACATTAAGCATGATAAGTGTAATTATTGTAAAGTCTGTATTTCACAGCTCAAATATCTGGATCCCCTGTGGTTCCACTTCACCTGTTTCTCTTGATTTTTTTTTTTTTTTTTTTTTTTTTTTGCTATATTTTGTAATTTGCTTCTGCCAGGCAGCAATTCCTGATCATGACTTGAAGGTGGGCTTTAGTTCCTGAAGGGACCCATCTACTTAAGATTCACCCTCCCTGCTAGGGTACAGTGTCTAAGGGTTGGAACTGGAAACCTAAGGGTGTTTACCAGGCTCTCCTCTCGTCATTACCCCAGCTCTGTGAGCCTCTCAAAAGCTTTGCCCACCTTCTCAGCTACAGCTTCTGGAATCTGCAAGTATCCCTGGAAGAAAAATGACCCCAGAGCAGGGCTTACGTTTCTAAGTTCCTAGATCTCGGCCCCACACTGCTGCATAGCACTGTTAGCACTCAGAGTTTTTAAATGTTTTAATATTTAGGGGCTTACACTGCAGCTCAGTGGCAGAATACCTGATTAGCAGCACAAGGCCCTGGGTTTAATCCCCAATACCACAATGAAATCAAATTTTAATATCTTGTCTAGCTTTTCCAGGTGTCCTCAGCAGAAGGGTTGAAAGCAATGATCTAGTCTGTCATCACTGGCAGCAGAACCCAAATTCCAACTTTTTAACTCCTCTTCTGGTTAGATCAAGAGAATATACTACTCAGTGTTTTTCCATTTGTTCATATTAGCTAAAAGACATGAGTTTACAAAATTAAAAAAGAATAGCTTCTGTGAGAAGTTAAGGTACATTTTGTTCTTCAGATCTTACCTTGGCAATGGGCCGGATAGGGGAGTCATTCCGTAGTCTTCGTATCTCTGGAATAGATTCAAAAGAACATGAGGATTAAAATTTAATACTTATTATAAAGTGACAACAGCAAACTTATAAACTTAGGCTTGCAGGATCAACTTTCAGGGGAATCATTTTCTCATTAAAACTTAGCATGCTACTGGGGCATTCTGCCATTAAGTAATTTGAGGAGTTTCAATGAGGGCCTGTGCTACCAGGCTTGAGAAAACACACAACTAATTTGTAGATCTCTGCTTTTCTATAGCTAAAAATATGAATAGCAGGTAGGCTTTCTATGCCAGCTCATCCCTACAGGGTCCCTCCCTACAAATCATATCTTCTGCTAAGAAAGCCTACACAGCCACATTTAGTATAGACCCCTCCCCCAACCCATAAGCCAAAGGGAACCAGATCCAATGGGTGTCCAATTCAAATTCCTCCAGACACTGAACCATGAAAAGCTGTATCACACTGCAGAATGCTGAAGAGAGAGAGAGAAACAAGAGAACAGAGAAGCAAGAGAGATGCTAAATGATGAAGGTGGCCCTTCAGTTTCTGACTCTCCTATACTTCAGCTCCAAGTGGTGCCCTGCATTTTTCATTCACGCTTTATGTGAGCTATTTTGAACTAAACGAGTGTTCTTGGACTAAAATGGTATTCCATATGATTTAAAGAAACATGCGTACATCCAAGAGATCTACTGAATTTCTCTGAAATCAACAAATTGTGACCCCCACATATATGTGATTCTTATTTCAACATTTTCAACTGTGAAGTATTACTCTGAATCAGATATATAGATGAGTAACTCTGCAGAGCATCTACCCAACTCCAGTCAGTCTGAATCAATTGCTTGATCAGAAGCTCTGAGGCAAGGTCTAAGTCAGCCTGACTTCTGGAGCTATACTGATGTTATATCTTTTTTTTTCCCCAGTACTGGGGTTTGAACTCAGGGCCTTGCACTTGCACTTGCACTTGCAGGTGCTCTACCACTTGAGTCTATCAGCCCTAGATCTTTCTTTTTTCAGTTGTCATTTAAATCTTTCTGAAAAACTCTCTCTTCCTTATTTTTCCCTTGGTTCCTCAAACTAGACTTTTCTCAATGAACAGATCTCTACTTTGGTGGAGGTGGGGAGAAGGTTGCGGGGCGTAGAGTCTTTGGAATCAGGCAGTCTGGCCAAGCTAGTCAACTTCTCTGGGCCCATTTCCTTAGGCCAAGCAGAATATAAGGATCTCTGCCCTTCCCAGGGTTCTGAAAGGACTATTAAGATACCACACTGTGTTCAGATTACTTCCCCTTCTGACCCTCTCTGCTTCCAGCCTCTTAGCAGAAGGAGGGCAATTTGAACCTCACAGATACACCAGATGAAGTACAATAACCTAGAGGGATTACAGAAGAAGGGAGGGACAGAAGGAAATGCAGCTTCAGTTCCTTTTCCAGTGACTAAAGGGAAATCTGATTCTGGTTTTCTACTGGATTAAACTTCTAGCCTTCTCATCTAAATACCTCAGAGTAACATCAAAGTACACAATGAAGAAACCACAGAAAAACAGTGTTTATATGTGGTTTGAAGTCATGGTCAAGATGGTGGATCAAGGCATTATCATGATGTCTGATCCCCAGCACCCAAGAACAAGAAATAATAAAAATAATAACATAAATCTGTCAATAATAATGATAAGGCTTTATGAGCAGAAACCAAGCAACTACAGAAGAGGAATCCAGCTATAAATGAAGAACAGCAGTGGAAAGGGAAAAGCGAGACTCTGGCAGCATGACATTGCTCCCAGACCCCATCCTCAGAATGCACAAAGTCAGATTCCCATTTAGATAGAAGCAGTCAGAAGTCAGGAAAGGGGGACCGAGGAAAAGCCTGGGAGCAGAGAAAAGCAAATAGAGGCCAGCAGTGACCAACTTCAGGTCAGAGAGTGAGTCAAGAACTTTTGCTGTGGGAAACTCAAGTCTAAGCTGAAAGGCTCTTGGTAGTTGCTCCTCCTCATTCTAAGACCTTCTGTCATCCTGAGGATGCATCCAAGGCATTAGCCCCTCAGCAACTTGGCCAACTCCACACCCATACCTGCATTTTATCTGTCAATTACAAAGCTATGCTTGGCCCCCAAACCATTCTACCCCCAACATCCCATATTCCAGCCCAAGGACTGTATGGAACTGAAGCTGGTACAATGATCTTGTTGAGACATGATGGTGGCCCACCTAGAGTAACAAGCAGACCAATTGAAGAGGAAGCATCCACAAGCTCCAGCAGTTAAGTGACCCCAGCTTCCTCTTCCTTTCCTTGTCAGTGTGCAGTCTATCACCTCAGCTGCATCTCTCATCTATATTTCACCTGCCAGGTGTCACTTCACCACATTTGCCTGATGGAGCCCTAGCCCAGGATCAATCCCACTGCCTGTCTTCTCACCATCTACAACTGAGAAACAAAACTAGAGACTTTAACTTTGTGCCACTATCATTTCATTATTATCAATCTTAACAGGAACCTCCATGCTAAGAAATTATCTCTGGGTCCCTAATCTGTTTTCTCTCATATTTCATATGTAGCATACTTGCCTAGCATGTGCAAAGCCCTGAGTTTGATTCTCCAGCACAGAGCAGGGGAGATATTACACACTCCAAAGTTTCCATCACCCCCAAAGTTTCCTGGTGCTCCTTTATAATCCTTCCATCCCATGCCCTGTCTTTCACCCCTGCCCCATCCCTAGACAACCAGTGATCTGTTTTCTATTGCTATAAATTTGTTTACATTTTCTAGAACTGTATAAGTATAATAATATGGTTTGTCCTCTTTTACTTTGGTCTATTTTCTTCCACTCAGCATAATTATTTTGAGATCCAATTGTTTCTACACATATCAATACTTCATCTATCATTACTAAGTAGTATTCCATTAGACGGATAGCACACTTGCTAATTCATTCATCTGTAGATAAGGATTTTGATTGTTTCCAGGTTGGATCTATCACAGATAAAGTTGCTATGGTGTGAAGGCTTTGTATGGAAAAATGCTTTCATTTCTCCTGGTTAAATACTCAGGAACTGAATTGCTGTGTTTGGTGTATGATTAACTTATTAATAGTCTGCCAAAGTGTTTTCCAAAGTGGTTGTGCTGTTTTATATTCCCACCAGTTCATGAGAGTTCATTCTTCACATCTTGGTCAACATTTGCTATGGTCAGTGTTTTGAATTCTCAGCATTAAACATTAACTTTGCATGTCTCTAGTGACTAATGATACTGAACTAAAGTCTTCATTTGCTTATTCTGCATATTCATCTGTTTATCATTTGTGTATCTTGGGTGAAGTTTTTCCTGGGTTGCTTATATAATTGAGATTTGTTTTATAATCCAAGATTGGTAAACTCTGGTCCATTTCAGCAAAACTTTCATGTCCTACTGAAAGAATGCCCATTCTGCTCTTGTTGGGTGGAACGTTCCACATGTCAATTATTTCAAGTTGGTAGTGTCGCTAAGTCTTCTCTACACTATTGATTTTCTACGTGCTCGTCCTGTCAGTTATGGAAAGGAGTGCTGACAGCTCAACCTATAATTCTGGATTTATTTCTACATGTAATGCTAACAGCAAGTGCTTCGTGTATTTTGAAGCTCTATTACTAGATACATGAATACTGGAGATTGTGTGTCTTCTTCATGAACTGGTCATTTTATTAGTATAAAGTGATCTTTATCCTGGACAATATTCTTTATTGTGAGCCCTATTTTGGCTGATGTTAAAATAGGCACTCCAGCTTCTCCTCATTAGTGTTAGTATGAAGTATTATTCATTATACTTTCAACCTATTTGTACCATGAGATATTTAATGTGGATATGTTGTAGGTGGGAAATGAGTGGCTCCTGCTTTTTATCCAATCCAACAAGCTCTGCTCTTTCATAGGGATGTCTAGACCATTTACATTTACTGTGAGTTTTGCGGGGTGAGGGAGGAGGATAGGATTGGAATTTGAATTCAGAGTCTCATACTTGCTAGGCAGGCACTCTGCTGCTTGAGCCACTCTGCCAGCTCTATTGTGATTACTGGTAGGAATGGATTTAAACCAACCATTGTGTTGTCTGTTTCCTGTTTCTCCATCTGTTCTTTGCTCCTTTTTACATCATTTTCTACCTTCTTTGGTCTACCTTTTGTGATTTCACTTTGACTCATTTGCTGACTTATTAGCTAATAACAGGTTGCTTTAGGGTTTGTACTATAGATTTTTCACTCATTACAGTCTACCACTAAGGCTATTATAACACTTCATATACTTTATAAGAACCTTAAAGGCCTGGTGGAGTGGCTCAAGTGGTAAGAGCACCTGCCTAGCAAGCATGAGGCCCTGAGTTCAACCCCTAGTGCAGACAAAAACAAAACAAAAAGAACCTTAAAATAGCATCTTCAGTCTCTCCCTCTTGCCCTCTGTGCTGTTTTATACCCTTACTTTTTACATTATTTCTACATGTTGTAAGCCCACAATGCATTGTAATTGTTGCTTTAAATAGCCCATATTTTTGATCCTAGACTGACCATTTTTTCCTTTTAGTTCCATAAAGGCTCATACCATAGTCTTCTGAACAATGAGAATGCTTCTGTCTTCTTTATGTTTTACACTCTGTTAGGCAGAGTTTGAGCCACCTTAATTTGGGGCTAATCTTTCCCCACTAGTGCAAAGTTCTTCTGATCATTCTAACAGATGTTCCACAAATTAAGGTGTTTTCCACTGTGACTGGTGGCAAGGTCAGTGTAGCTTAAAACAACACACATTTCTCTTCTCACAGTTCTGGAGGTGATGTTCCAGATGAATGCTGTGGCAGCGTTCAGTTTCTGGTGAGGGCTTTCTTTCTGGCTTACAGTCAGCTGCCTTCTCTCTGTGTCCTTCTATGTCAGAAACAGAGCCCTGGTGTTTTTTTAACTAATTAGTTCATCACCAGGCTGGCTTTGATGTCATGATCTTTCTGCCTCAGCCTCTAGAGCTGGTATCACAGGCATGCACCATTACATGGCCTTCTGTTTCTCTTCCACAAGGGCAACAGTTCTATAGAATCAGAGCTCCATCCTTATGGCCGTATTTAACCCTAATCACTTCCTTAAAGGCTTTCTCCAAAATACTCATGTGGGGAGGGGGGTTATGGATTCAACACCTGAACTTGGGAGGATACAGTTCGGTTCTCAACAAGAGCTCATTCCCGGGCCTGGGGGGCTCTGCAGATTGTTCTCTCCAGTCTTCTGGGTGGTTCTCTCCCTGGTCTTGGGTAGTTTACTCACGCTCAGCAGACCTCTAGCATTCCTTGCCGTGTATCTCTCTACTCTCCCGCTCTCTCTCCAGTGAACTTCAGCTGCCTTTTCCTCTCTGGACTTCCAATTCTGTCCCCTCAAATCAGGGAGACCAGAGCTCTGCCTGCACAGTGGCCAGGAACTCCCAATAACATAAGCTAGGAAAGCAAAGGACTCCGCTCACCTCTTGGTGATCAGTATCTTTGTTGCCTAACGTCCAGGGTCATGACAAACCATGTATTACATCCAGTTCTTCAGTTGCTTTTTCAGAAGAAATATAGATCCAGACCGTGTTCCTCTGTCTTGCCCTGAAGAGGAAATGTGTTCTACACACTTTTCTTCCTGGGCTCTGCCATACTTCCCACTACCTAAAATCTTCTTCTTTAACTGATGACCACTATCCCCTAGATTGCCACTTAGGTGTCATTTTTTTTCTTCCAGAAAATCCTTTCCTGAGGTCCTCAAGGCTCAGCTAGATGCTCTTCTACATAACCTCCCCTGCACAGCATGGACCACGTTGCACTGGAATTGCTGTTTGTTGGTTAGTTTTGTAGTGATGGGGATTGAACTCAGAGCCTCACACTTGCTAGGATAGCGCTCTACCACCTGAGCCATGCTCCCAGTTCTGGAATTGCTGTTTCAACTGCTCACATATCTTCCACTGGAAACAAGAGCTGGAGAGCAGGGCCCTGTGCTGCACACCACTAGGTCCTCAACACCTAGCAGGATACTACACACAGCAGGTGTTCCACAAATATGTCTGAATGAATAAGCAAGTAAGAGAAGCTTAAAGTGACAGCAGCTGAGTTTCATTCTGTAGCATCCAACTCTAGAAAGATTATAAACCACCAGTGCACCCTTGAAGTATATTTATTATCAGAACAAATATTAACATTAAAAACAATATGATTAATAGAGTGAATGGATTTTCCCCCGCCACCTTGCAGCAGTTACCCATATTGCAAGCACTGTGCCTTTCTTGCCTTAAAGGAAACACTCTATTACTAAGGACTTACTTTGAAAATTCAAATCAATTTCAGAGATTAAAAATTCTTTTTTGTGGTACTGTGTTTCTTTTTAATTTTAATCCAACTTTGAAGCAATAATTAAAATTATTGCTAGATTGCTCAACAGACAGGAGTGATTTTTTTAAACGTGGAAGACCTGTGAGTCTGATTTCCACAAAGGTTCAAAGTGTAGTATTAGGAGCCTCAGGGGCCCAGATGGTCATACTAAAATTAAAAATCTGGTATTTTCTAAACTGCTCCTTTTATGGAGACCCACCTGCATTTCATGACATGGTGAGGGACCCAGGAAGATGTTTCCATGAAATCCCCTACCTTCCCCAACAAACAGAGCCTTACAGCTGTATAAAAGGATGTTTCTAACATTAAGAATTAACTCAGCAGAACATGATAAAAGTGAAGGCTTACCACTCAAGCTTTATGTTTTATCAAATGCAACCAGTTCTGTAGGGAGTATGCAAGTGATACAGTTGGGCAACAAAACTCCAACATCTCGCCCAGGCAGGAGAGAATTCTAGAAGGCCAGTACTTACAGCGCAGGGGTTGTTGGTCATCTGGGCTGGGCTGTAGAAGGATCCCCACTGAGTGGCTCGCCGGTCCTCCCGGGAAGGGGTGCTGTTCACAGGCAGGCCAGCTGGGACCCCAGGGCCTGCACCCACAGCATTAGCGGGTTGGCTACTAGGGGCCACGAGGGCAAAGGCATCGTCCAGGAGGGAGTGCATGGTCTGGCGCGCTTCTTCAATGGACGGCTGGGGTGGAATGTACTGGGAGGCCGGGAAGGGCAGGCCTGGATACCTGCCCAGCTCAGCCGAAGATGGCGTCTGCACATCCGCTGGGAGGTCGGGATCAGACTACAGTGGAGAGATGGCAAAGAAAAGAGTCAGACAGAGCTTTTGTGGGGGTCCTGAAAACAAAGCTCTAGGGCCAAAATGGAATTTAACAATTTTGGGGGCATTTACAAAAGGGTTTATTATAAGAATTATAAAATGACTGCTATGGAATATACATTTTATGGGAGACAAAGGCTTAAATCAGGGGATAAAAAGTGGAAGTGTTAAACAATAGTCATTTTTTTTTTCAGCAAGCCTCAACTATCTGAAATGGATTTCAGTAGCTGATAGTGTACATTTTTACAAAAAGCCTAAGCAGCCAAAAACAAAAACACGTTTCAGAGTACATATACTCAAAAAAACCCACCTGCCTTCCATTGCTATAGAAACCAAAAAGTATAGCAGTCTATGGAGCTTTAACAGCAAAAGAAAATCTCCCTACATATTCCTAAAAGAAGTCAAAGTCACCACCACATAAAACCATGTGTGTGTACAAACAACAGTAATACCTGCTATAGTTATTATTTATGATAGTAAATATGACAGGGAAAAATCACTTGTATCTCCTGATAACATGAGTCATTTAGAAACTTTACAATTATGTTCTATACACACTGTAGAAGAGACAGGAATATAAGTAACAATTAAGATTTTTTTTAAAAAGTCTTACTGATACTGTGTTATGAGCAAAATGCTGTCATAATGTACACTGGGTTAACTGTAAGAGACAAAATAGGAAACCAATGATAAAGAGTTTAATATAGTTTGGATTTGAATAATTTCCCCCAAAGTCCCATGTGTTAATGGCTTGGTCCTCTGGATTTTTTTTTTTTTTTTTTGTACTAGGGTTTGAACTGAGGGCCTTGAGCTTGCTAGGCAGGCACTCTTAACTGCTTGAGCCACTCCACCAGCTCAAAGGCTTGGTTCTGAGTTGAGCTATTAGATGGAAGTAAAAAGATCTACTGGAAGGTTTTTAAGTCACTGGGGAAGTGCTCTTGAAGAGGATTAGGAAAGAGGCCCCTCCTCTTTCTCTTTTGCTTCCTAGCCATGATGTAAATGGTTTTGTTCTACCATGTGCTCCCGCCATGATATGCTGCCTTACCACAGGCCAGAAACAAAGGGAGCCACGGATCATGGATTGGAACCTCTAAACTGGAGTCAGAATAAACTTCTTTTCTTTATAAACTGATAATCTTTGGTATTCGGCTATAGTGACAGAAAGCTGACTGACCTTTTTGGTGTCAGAGGTTCCCTAAACCCAAATGTCATAGTTACCAGAGCTGACACCATGAAGAAAAGAGAAGAGGTTCTGCCTGAGGGGCCAGGGACCTCAAGCCCTCTCTATGCAAAAGGGAGACCTCCTTCCACCTGGAATGCTTCACTCACCCCACCAGATGCACTGAGTTGGATCACCTCACTCTAGGGACCAAGAAAGACATCCTGTATCTGTCTGGGTCAGTGAGTCCATAACAAAGAAAAACCCAATTCCCCAGACACATGCTTCACTTTGGCCAGCAATCTGGAAACTGCTTCCTAGTGATCAAGGTCTGTCTGTGGAAGACCAGAGATTAATCACACAAAGGCAGCTTAACTCCAGATAAAACGCAGACTGGCAACCCCACATACCTGTTTTGCTTGGCCTGCGTCACCTTTAAAAACCAGATAGCTAATATTTTAAAAACCTGACAACTTCATAGGAACACTTAGATCTCTGGATTCTCTTGGCAGAAACTGAAGTTCCAACATGACCTGGCTCCCTGACTCACACAGAGTCCACCAACACCGATGAGAGTTCTTGCCTCCTTGAGACTGGGAAGTGCTCCTCTCTCCAAAAGATTTCATTGGTGATCTCACTTTTGGGTACCATATATGATCTTATAATCTGTTTCTCCAAAACAGCGATATCCCAGTCAAGGCTCTAGTGAGTGACATCAGTGGTTAGCCTGGTTATGACATAGCTGACATTAGAAGGAACATGCGTTCCCTTTCTTATGAGGTGGGGGAAGAGCCACACTCACACCCTCTTCTCATTATTGGTTTTATGGAGACACAGATGAGAAAGACTGGCAGTGAGTCCAGTAGCTGACTCAGTAGCTGAACTGCAAAGCAGCAAACAGCGAGGGAGAGGAAATGCTGCAGGGACAAAGTGAGATTTCACGGGAGGAAAGGATCTTGCTTGAAAGCTCTAACAGTTGTGGCCACTTGGGGACACAATGCAAAGAAGATTTAACTTCCCTAAGTTCTCTCACCCTTTTATAGCAAGAGAGACATGCTCTAAAGATGGGAGGGATGGGTCCCTTGGAATCACACAGGTCCCAAGAATCCTACCAAGAAAGCCACGACATCAGGGCTTCTGATCTTTGTCTTCTTCCTGCCTCATTTCGTAGGCTAGACTATCAGAACCTGAAGGCCAACAGGTCTTACTCATTTTCTACATCCCAACATCTACCACATGAAGATGGGACTTAACATGAAAAACTGAGGTCTACGGAAATTAACATTCACCCAGGACTCCTGAGTTGGAGTTCGAACTCCACTATCTTGGGTCCCAGTCTGATCATTCTCTACTAGGGTTCAATATTTTTTCCTTTGTTCAGATACATGCTCCCCTAGCACTCCTCAGAAAAGCATCTGAAACTTTCTACTTTTAGATATCAAAGATTATGCATTTTGGTGCCTAATTTGCAATCCTTGGTGGGCTGTTATAAGAGAGGGATCACACATCCTGGTTTGTTCAGAACAACTTAGTTTATTTAATAATTAATAGTACTCCCTCTCACCTTCAGATGTGTCTGGTCTGGATGATAATTTACATCAGGGGCTGACAAACTTTTTTCCCCATTTTTAAGAGAAAGGGTCTTACTACACTGCCCAGTCTGGCCCCAAACTCTTGTACTCAGGTGACCTTCCTGCTTCAGCCTCCTGGCATGCACTACCTCTGGCTTCAAACTTTTGATTAAAGAACCAGACAGTAAATATTTTAGGTTCTACAAGTCATACAGGATCTGTCATAACTCCTCAATTCTGCAAAAGCAGCCAAAGACAGAATGCAAACAAATGGCTGTGGCTGTCTTGCAAAAACTTTACCGTATTTACTAAAACAGGCATCTGGCTGGATGTGGCCCAAGGGCCCAGACTGACCTGCAAGAACCAGAGTGGTAACTCTGGTTGCAACTATCTAGTTAACAAGGAACCAAGGAATCTCTCTCTGGTTTTAGAAGAATGGAGCGCTCAAAGAGAAGGTAGTTTGAAGGAAAAGAAGAAAATTCAAAACCATGTAGCATATGTATGGTCTTGAGGATGAAAAACTACCTAAGATGAGTTCTGAGAAAGGCATTCTTTTTTAAAGTATATGTTTTAGGAAGCAGAAAGTAAGCTATCTGGCAGCTGGCCAGAAGGTAGGCTCTTACAAGGCTAAAGAGGAAAGAGAAGGTAAATAGAGCTGGTGCCAAAGCCCCTAATCCCAGTCTCATCAAGAGTTTGGTTTTTGTTTTTGTTGTTGTTGCTTTGGGTAATGATTTCAGTACATTCACTTCCCTTATACACTTGCTGAATGTGAAATAGAAATAAAAGGAAAAGAGAGTGACAGACAGACAGAGACAGAGAAAAGCCCATTTGATGAGGAGCTTCCTTTTAGAAAAGGAATCTTTGAAGGAGCCATGGAGACAAGCAGCCCCCTGAGGTGGTGCTCTCCAGGGAAAGGCTTTTTACCATCAACTCAAAGAGGAATCTCTACACTTCTGCAAATTAAAAAAGGGAGAGAAAAAAGGAGAGTCCAAGTCACGGTGCAGAAGCATGCCTGTACTCCAAACTACTCAGGGGGCTGAGGCAGGAAGATTGCTTGAGCCCAGGAGTTTCAGACCAGCCTGGGCAATAAAGCAAGACTCCATCCCCAAAAAACCTAAATTAAAAAGGAGGGGCCAGGGCACCAGGAAGGAAGTCTAAGTTGGAGTCACCGATGACAGCCAATGAAGAGAGAAAGAGGAAGGCAGGTCATTCTCTACAAGAAACTCAACAGCCCTGAAGAGTGGAACTCAGAGGCAGGGACAAGGCTCTCCTGTGGTTTCTTTGAGGGAAGAGCCCAGGCTGACTAGGGAAGCAGAACAGGAAGGAATGTTCCTCAGAAGGCCCTACTGCAGGCAGACAGGAGTTCCAGGTGACTCCCTTGGGGACCTGAGGGGACAGCCCTCTCCAAATTAAGTCAAACACCACTGACATTCTGCCAAGTTTTCCAAAGGGCCATAGCAGCACAAGATCGCCATCTACTGCAGGAAGCCCCAGCCCCATTCCTCCATCCAAGGAGCACAGCATGCTGAGTGATGGAACTACTGGAGTTATTCATTCTGCTGCAAGGAGAGGAGTGTAACTGACAGACCTTTTAACTCCAAATCACAGCAGGCCTCATGAGTGGATAGGAAGTCACGGTCAGTCTTCAGAACACCAGAAACAGTAAAGGTGATTTCATTCAGAAGAGCGTAAGTCAATTATACCCAGCCCCTTGTCAGTAAGGTATCTGGCACTTTTATGTAAAGACACTGAATTTCTTAGCTGGGCACTGGTGGTTCATGCCTATAATCCTAGCTACTTGGGAGGCTGCGACCAGGAGGATCATGGTTCAAGGCCAGCCTAAGCAAATAAGCAAATAGTTTGTGAGAACCCCCAACTCCAAAAATAACCAGAGCAAAATGGACTGGAGGGGTGGTTCAAGCAATAGAGCAACTGCTTTGCAAGTGTGAAGCCTGAATTCAAGCCCCAGTCCCACCAAAAAAGAAAGAAGATATTGAATTTCTTTCCGTTATTGGCTATTCATGTAATTTAGGAAGAACAAAAAGGAACCTCAAATAAGAAAGGGCTTGTGCTTCTCTCTAAACAAGGACAGCCTCATTTCCCCCCAAAGGAGGAAGGGGCTTTGCACCATGCCAAGGCTGCTCCCCGGCATGGGGCTTTGAGTCCACTGTGCTCCAAGGTGCTGCTCTCCCTCTGTGGCAGGGCAGCTTGTGCCTGTATTTCTCGCAGCCCCTGGGAAGACTGGCCTTCTTTCTCACTCAATGGGGTCTGTGTGCATGCGTCTAGTGTGATCAGTGCTGCCTTCAATGCTTGGAGCAACTCCGTGCCCCTGTCAGTTTGAAAGAAAACAAGTTTTATTCTTTGTCTCTTGATTCCCATCCTTCTCCCATAAAAATAACTATGTATCGAGGCAGAACATCCCAGTCTAAAGATCTGAAATGTTCCAAAATCTGAAACTTTTTGAGCTCTGACATGATGCTGGATTCAGAATTTTGAAGTATTTCAGAGTTTGGGTGGTCAGATCAGGGATACTTAACTGATTAAGTCTGAGAAACATTCCAAAATTCAAAACATCCCAAATGTGAAACACTTCTGATCCCAAGTACTTCAGTTAAGGGGTTCTGAACTGAGAAAATACACTATCTTCTCAGCACCTAGAGACAGAGGGGCAACAAAACCCTCAATACTCCTTCTATCACCAAGAAACCATCCGACCAAGGGAGAAAACAAGTCTGTACACTCTCCTCTCTCCCTCTCCGTCTCCTGCTGTCTCTCTCTCCCAATTAATCTCAAGCAGCTACTGTTCTGAAGCCTGACAGCAGTTTACATACAGAAAGGAAAGCCTGGGGAATGTTTCCAGAACTATCATCCAGCAGCCCCCAGGCTGATATGACCCACCTCCACCCTGCACATGCTTCAGGGCCCCCTGGTCCTGGCATCTGCCTCACACAGGGCAGCAATCAGCTCGGTCCACTGTCCTCTCCATCAAGGCCTTTTCCTAACAGGCCCGTGTTCCATAAGTACTAGTGGTACGCACCGGGCAGCCAATGTAAGCAGAGTTGTGCACACCGGGGGGCCGCTTGTATGTGCCGTCACTGTCTGTGGTGATCAGTCTGTCCTTCTCAGCATCAGCAGGGCAGCCGTTGACCTGGTGTTTCCGACGTGGCTTAGGAGAACGTTTTATCCGTGAGCTGCCAGGAAAATCAGACATTATCTTCATAGGAAATAAGCCTTCTTGCTGCTGGCATAGCCAATGATCACTGAATAACGTCTAGGTGTCTGCCATGTGCTGGCCACTATAGGAAGCACCCCAGAGGTACAGACACAGTTGCAGCCACAGTGTGGGCCTCGAGGACCAGACTTCTCAGCCCACAAAGACAAAGGAACAAGCTGTACTCCTGACACGGTTTCTCACACACAGTCAGAAGAGGGAGAGGGAGAGGTCAGCTATTATAACCCATGGCTACAGGGGCCTGCAGTGGGTCTGGAAGAAAGTAGATCTGAGGCCGGGAGATGCCGCACAGATGCTGGGAGGAAACTGAAGCAGATGACGTGTTAGGTGGAAGGCGACCATTCACCTAGCCACACTTCTGTGTGACTGGCCAGAGGGAAGACTACAAAGGAGAGGCGGGCTCGCCCACTCCAGGAGCACAGGTTCCACACTGCAGGCAGCAAAAGCCAGCTCAGGTTTGGACACAGAAATACACAGATAAGAGGAGTAGTGCGTAAAGACCCACATCTGCCTCAGGGGCAGGAGTACGGAGGAAGGGGAAGGTGAGACTCAAGACTGAGGCAGCTGCATGAAAACACTGGAGACCCACAGCCCCACCTGGCGACTCCAGGGATGAGAACATTGGCAGTGAAAGGGGTTGCGGGGGGAGGGAGAGGACAACCAGCTGCCAGGCAGCTACAGAGAGGCTGGTTGGAAAAGGAAGAGGTGAAAATGGTTTTAGGCATGGAATGAAACTGAGAAGGGACCAGGCCCTCCTCACCAAGGCCTCCCACTACACAGCCTTCCTGGTAAACCTCTGTAATGGGCTCTCAGAGACTTTCGTGGGAAAATGCATGGGGCCTTTCGTAACAGTGTCCGCTAGACGCAGAGGGGGACCAGGTTCTGTGGTCCTCTCCCAGCTGCCCACCTCTTCCGGGGCTCTATGAACACCGAGGGCACGCTGGCCGTGGGGTCCAGGATCTTGTCGATCTGCATCTGCGCCCTGCGGTACACGCGGTGCCGCTCCTTCGTGTCGCCCGAGGACAGGTCGTCCACCACCGGGAACTCGTAGTGGCCGCGGCGCTTGGCGCGCAGCCGGATCTTATTGCGGTGGTGCTCGATCTCGGACTTGTGCCGCAGGGCCGTCTGAATCTGGGGGGGATGGAGAAGCAACCCAGATGGAGGGTTCTCAGAGGTTTCAGGGACCCTCCTCTGCAAAGCCTTTCAGGGAGGACTATCTCTCCCCACTCTAGGGGAGAGGGATGCACCCACAGGAGTGACAGGACGGCCTGCACCCAACGGGTGCACACCAGCTTTACACCCAACCCTGCTGAGGGGTCCTGGGGTTCCATGTTCTCCTTCCCAAAGCAGGGAGAAAACTCACTCAAACCTTGGAAATGCATCAGGGACACCTTAGAAGATACTCTGTACTCTAAGAACAAAATAAGTATTTTCTATACCAAATAATATCACTACTTGAGAGAGTTTTAAAGTATTTGCATTAAATACTTTAATGCAAAGTATTTAAGTATTAAATACTTTAATGCAAAGTATTTAAGTATTAAATATTTAATACTCACTGATAATAAACCAGCCCCTGACCCCCATCCCCTAAAGACAGAAGGATCACACTGGCCATGGACACCCTAAGGCCAGTCTTCAAGAGCTAGGGGGACCTGGATACCGTGGCTCACACCTGTAATCCCAGCTATTCAGGTGTGGGGATCTGGAGGATGGCAGTTGGAGGCCAGCCCTGCCAAAATGTTAGCAAGACCCCATTTCAATCAACAAGCTGGTATGGTGGCACACACCTGTGATCCCAGCTACACAAGAGGCATAGGTAACAAGACGGTGGTCTGAGGCAAGCTCAGGCAAAAAGTCAGTAAGACATCACTAACTTTTATAAATTAATATGGCAGTACACGCCTGTAATCTCAGCTATGCAGGAGGCATAGGTAGCAGAACCATGATCTAAGGCCTGCCTGGGACACACAGCACCAGACCCTATCCAAAAAAAAAAAAAAACTAAAATCAAAAAGACCTGGGGACATGGCTCAAGTGGTAGAGCAACTGCCTAGCAAGTATAAGGCTCTGAAGTCTCAAGTTCAACCCCTAGTACTGCCAAAATATAAAAATAAAATAAGGAGCGAGAAGAAGCTGCAACAGGGCAGAGCAGGGCTTTCTAAGGGCAGCGGCTCAGGTTTCTGAATTAACTCTCTTCTGTACAATGGCCAGTGCAACTCCAGGTCCTGCCCAGCAGCTGATCTTGAAGTAACGACCCCAGTGCTGTCCGTGAGGCAGACTTGTCAGGGTGGTGCCTTTAGTACACCGTTCAACGCCATACCTCATTCTTTAAGCACGCAGCAAATTGGAAGGAGAGGTTTTCATTAACACGAGCGAATACCTCCTTGTTGATTTTGTTGGTTTCTGCCACACGGTCAGCCAGGACAGGGTGCTGCACTGAGGGTACTGGGATGGGCTGCATGGCGATCAGCTGGATCTTACTAGGAACCCGCCGGCTGGCCTCAGAAGGCCTGGCAATCCTGTCCACGTGCTCGAAGATGGAGGCCGAGGAGTGTTGCTCGTTCCCTGAACTGGGCAGCTGGGAACCTGGGACGGAAGGAGAGCAAAGCAAACAGTAGAGTCACCCTACAGAAAAAGCAAAGTCAAAATTGGGGATTATTCTTGAAAGAATCCCCAAACTGGGCCTCAGACAAAAAAAAAAAAATAGCCCCCTACGCTGGTGCCAGAGTACTTGACATTTCTCAACTTGACCTTGCACGGTCTAGATTCATGCTGTCTCTTTCAGCATCATTAAAAATTACAAATACCCTCAGGAAAAACATGAGGTAGTCATTACAATCCTGTGTCAAAAACTGCAGTGTCTTGTGTAAATGTGGCTCAAATCTTCTGAAAGGGGAGGAGGAGCCTGAAGTTGCTCAGAAACTCACAAAACTTTTAGAAACAACTTTTCAGCAGCAATAAACTTCGCTGTCAGCTGGGAGGGACCTGGTGGGAGTGCTATCAGTTCACTGAGAAAGCAATGCCACCCACATAGCTGGGACCACAGGCACATACCACCATACCCAGCTTTGTTGGTCGAAATGGAGTCTCACTAACTTATTGCCCAGATTGGCTTCAAACCTCGATCCTTCCAATCTCCACCTCCTGAGTAACTGGGATTACAGGCATGAGCCAGCACACCTGGCCTCCCTTATACTTTAAATCACCTCTAGGCTACTTACAATTTTTAATGCAATGCAAATGCTATATAAATTGTCACAGTGTATTATTTAAGGAATAATGACATGAAAAAAGTCTGTACATGTTCTGTATAGACATAATCTTTTCACGTTTCCAAACTGTACTTGGTTGAATTCAGAAACCACAGCTCGAGAGCTGACTGTACTGCTGAGAAAACAAAAGACAAGGGGACTGTGAGCATGCAGGTGACCAGAGTTAATAACGAGTGCTTTGGGTTTTTCACTTCTGATATAGAAAGCAAAGGTGAAGAAGCAGGAGAAGAAAATCTTGCTGCCTGGAGAGGATTTGTTCCCATTTTAAAAGAGATAAAAAGGGCACTTAAAAATGGTTAAGAGGATAAATTTTATGTTAATGCACCTCTCACTACAATGTTTTTTAGAAGTAATTAGACCTGTGAAAAAGGAGAAACTTAAATGTGTAGGAAAAAAAAGAAACACTTAAAATGTTAAAAAGAGACTGGATCTTGGTATAATGGGTGATTTTCTCCAATTTCTTATATTTCTGTAATGAGGATTTTTTTTCTACTGAGTATTACATGTTGTAGAAATAATCCCAATTAATTTTTAAAAGAAAACGAGAGAGAGGAAGAAGGCAGGCTGACAGGACGGAAGGAGCTAGTTAGTCATACTAAGATCAGCTAGTGCCTTCCCTCTGAACAGCCACTGTCACCTCTAGATCTTCTGAAATTGTTTTAAAATAAATGGCCAGCAGAAGTGCTGAAAGCAGGTAGAAACTCTTTATAAACAAAAGCCAAAGGCTTGAAACCTCAAGGACAAGTGAAAAATTACAGCGGTTTCTCCTCAAAATAAAAATGATAGAGTTGGCAAAGCATTAAGAAATTGTATGTGTTATTTTACATAAAGAATGTATGTCCGTGGTGTGTAAGGTTTTGTAGTGCCTCTCAGTTTCAATTGCATTCATTTGTTATTCCAAGCAATTAGAAATTATTTATATAACTGGATTCCAGTTATTCTTGGGTTTTCTTTCCCTGCCCAGCCTTGGAGGGAGGCTGAAGGTGCAACACAAGCCTGGTTGGGCACCTCCATTCATCCCCTGGTGGCTACTCAAGTTGCAGGCATAATTCCTAAAAGGGGGATTAGTGACACTGCCAGATAGGCTGACCCAAACTTCTAAAGGAATGTCAAATGTCACAAAGGGCAGCCCACTAAGCTACCAATAAAAGGGTCAGAGCACTGTCTACCAGGGTGGCAGAGAGCTCCAAGTCATTTTTGAGTCTCAAGAGTAAAGGCCCCTCCCCTTGTGCTGTGTCAGGTCCCACCTGGCTGCAGCCCACGTCCTCCCCACTGCAGCCACAGAGCCTCATACTGTCATTCACAACCTGCAAAGCAGGAGACACACAGGCCTCAGGCTTCTGGACAGAGCAATGGGACTAATGAAGGAGAGGAACAGAAAATCCTCTAGTTTCCATGCAGTCTGGGACCCAGCCCTTCCAAATGGCTGCAAAGTGTTTTAAAATTTTATACTAAATTATAATATAAATTATGGTATGCATGATACAATGTTCTTAAAAACGACCTGGATAATAAGACAACGAATGCATAGAGATTAATGCTTCGTGAATCCTGCCTTAAGGCAAACAAGGACTTTGATGGAAAATGCCTTTCTCCCCCAACAGTGGTTTTGAAAAAGCAGTGATTGAGGCTCATGCCTACAATCCCAGCCTGCCAAGACCGAGAGAACTGCAGTTCAAGACCAGGTCAGGAAAAACTTAAGAGCCTACCTGAAAAATAACTAAAGCAAAAATGGGGTGGGAATGAGACTCAAGTGGAAGTGTGCCTGCCTAGCAAGCACGAGGGAGGGGCCCTGAGTTCAAATCCAAACACCACGAAAACAAAAACAAAACAAAAAAGCAATGATAGAAATTACACCACACAGCCAGTAGATATACTGTACATCAGGGTGACTACAATTAGTAACAATATATTGTATATTTTTATATAGCTAAGAGAATAGATTTTAAGGATTCTCACCACAAAAAAAAATGATAATCATGCAAGTATCTCATATGTTAAATAGTTTGATTTCATCATTCTGCAGTATGTACATGTATTAGAATGTCATGTAGTAACCTTAAATATATACATTTTTATCTTTCCCACTAAAGATAAATACAACTCCTAAAAGAAAAGAATACATTTCTGCTTGTTAAGAAAAAAAGAAAAGGCCACAGTAAAGGACTGCACAGGATAATGTCATCCAGGCAGGATGACAAGGATAGGCGTTACTGAAATGCTTTAAAGAAATGTGATAACAGTCGAACCTCCCCATTACTAATGCTGGCAGCCCGGTCATACCCCAATCCAGGGTCACACTTATCTTGTCTTCTTCACTGAACCCCAGCACCTAGTGCACCCCAGGCACTCAGTGAGCCCTGCTGGATGATGACTCCATGACTACAGCCCTCTTGACTTTACAGATTCTGCTCCTGCAGAGGCCTCTGGAGGCTGCCCAAGTGAAAGGCAGGACTGCCTTCATCACTTTAGAAATGAGCACTCCAAAGTGACTTGAAAAGACCTCATGTTACATGTATTCAATCTGGTTAACTATGAATTTGCTTGGCAAAGTCTTCAGTAGGTGCAAAAGTCAGTGTCATCTTAGTTCCCACATGAAATCCTAGAACTTAGAGCTTGCAAAACTCAAGTTAATAAAGTTCTAACTACTCAAAAATCACACACAGGCACCCAGTGAAGGGGACAGAGCAAACACTCAGCACTTCACAACAGTTTCCTACCTGGCATATTTCTGATGACAAGGAAGAGAGAAACTACAGTTAGGCAGAGACGGAGCAATGGCAGCTCAGTCACACCCTCAGCAGAAGGCCTGGTGCCTTCTCTCTCACCTTTCTCTTCACCACCTCATAAAGGGTGACCAAGGCAATGAGACTTATCTCAACTGCAATGACTGTCAACATGGTAGCCTGTGAGTAAGTCGTCTCTGCAGGGTTCAGGGATGATCACAAGAGTGGCATCATGGTCTAGTCACCATCTGAGAACAGCTAGCTGAACAGGAACGAAGTACACCTCAAATTTACCAAAACAGAAACAGTGGTCTAGTGGCCTCCTCCAAGCTTCCACTACAAGCAGCTGGTGAGGGGATCTTAAAATGCCCGATTACAGGGAATGGCTATCAACCATGCCAAAAAGCCAAACGCAAGCCGGTGGCTGTGCTGCATGTTGTAAGAGGGAGCGGTGGTCCCAAGGCAACACAGAGGAGGGTTCCAGGATGGCTCTCAAGAAACCTCCTGCCTCCACTAATTTTCATTTTATATCACGTGCAGCCAAAAAAAAAGGATTTTTATGTAAATTATAACATATTCAAGTCGGGTATGGTGGCATATGCCTGTAATCACAACACCCAGGAGGCAGAGGCAGGAGGATGTCTCCATCCAAGGCCAGCCTAGGATACACAGCTAGTTCAAAGCCAGTCTAAGTGACATACTGAGACCCTGTCTGAGAAAAAAAAAGGCTGCAGATGTAGTCCTGTTGTAGAACACTTACTTATCACATGCAAGCCCTTAGGTTCCATTACCAGCAAAACCCTCGGCCAAAAAAAAAAAAAAAAATTCAAAAGCTATGATTAAAAACTTAGAAATTTTAAAAAATATTAATAGCTATTATTACTTTATGGTACTGGGGATTGAACTCAGCCACCTCCTGCTTGCTAGGCAGGCACTCTGAACTGGAGCCACACCCTCAAGTCCAAAAATTTCAGCCTCTTTTTCACAGGGTACTTAACAAAGTTCTGTGCAGGTAATGAAGTATCTTTATGGCAGCATTAAAGCCATCGTCTAATGCTGTTTAAGAAGGAAACAAGTGGGCGCCGTGGCTCACGCTTATAATCCTAGCTACTCAGGAGGCAGAGGTTGCATTTTGAAGCCAGCCCTAGGGCAAATAGCTCTGGAGAACCTCCCTCTCTCGAAAATACCCAACACAAAATTCATGTGATAGCACACCTGCCTTGCAAATGAGAGGCCATGAGTTCAAGCCCTAGTACCTCCAAAAAAAGAAAAGGCAACAGAAATTTTAAAAGTGAACGATATTTATAGTAAGAAAACCATCTCTCTGAAATATGACACAATGCCCAGATTCTGATGTCTCTTGCAATTATGACAGCAGTGCCTAGGCACCTGGTGCTCCCAGGAAGCTCTGACTCATTTCCCCTTCTGGTCGGTCTCAAATCAGTCTCAGATCTCAGTGCTTGGATTCTGAATGGACGCTGAGGGTGGTGTTTGATTTTTGTAGTATTCATCATTGGATGTGATACTAACAGCGAGATTTTCTCAGATAAGTAATTAACAGAAATTATAATCGAGAGCTCTTTTATTTTTTTCCAAATCTTTCTTTCCCAGGATGAAAACTAGACTTTAATCCTGTCATCTGAAACACAGCACCTGTTACCATGGCGATAAATAAGTCTGAAGAGTCTGTGAAACAGGATCCAAAGAAAAAGTTCTTCCCTTAAGATTATAAAAGAACCAGCTGGAAGGAATTTCAAGGATGGGCCAGTTCCGTCCCACAGGAGCCTCAAAAGGGAAGAAACCCACAAGGCCACAGCATGTCAGGCACACAAGAAACCCTTGGGCTTTGGTCCAAAGTATCTTGATTCATCAAATGCAGTTCACTCTGTGCTGCATTTTCATACAAAGATTTTTATGATTTAAAAAAAGTAGGTATAAAATTACCACTAAAAAACTCACTCTTGGGACTGGTGGAGTGGCTCAAGTGGTAGAGCGCCTGCCTAACAAGTGTGAGGCCCTGAGTTCAAACCCCAGTACCACTAAAAAAAGAACACCAAACTAAAAAACCCACTCTAAAGTGGAACAAGGTGGCTTGCCTCTACAATCCTAGCTATTTGGGAGATTGGCAGGATTGCAGCTCAACGTCAACCCAGGCAAAAAGTTAGTGAAAACCCCACGTCCACCAATAAGCTGGTGTGGTGGTGTGCACCTGTTATCCCAGCTACACGGGAGGTATAAACAGGAGGATTGAGGTTCAGGCCAGCCAGAGTAAAACTGCAAGATCCTACTGGAAAAATAACTAAAGCCAAAAAAAAGGGCTGGAGACATGGCTCAAGTGGTGGAGTGGCTGCCTAGCAAGTGTGAGGCCTTAAGATCAAACCTAGTACTGCCAAATAAATAAATAAATAAACAAACAAATAAATAAAAATAAAGGCATCCTGAGGCTTCCCTTATCTTTGCATTACAGAAACACAATCCTAAAACATTAATACATCCAATACAACAGCTGAATAAGCACATTTACTCAACAGAACCTATTAAACTAAAATCCAGCAGCCCTGCCATCCCTCCAAAAACTGCTCCAGAGGCTAGGGAAGCCTGAAGGCATAGTTTTGTTGCAGGGCATGAGCCCCTTAGAGTGGAAGGGAAGTTTGTCCTCCTACCTGGCCCACAAAGCTCTATTTGTCTCCCAGAGCTAAGCCATCTGATCACACCAAACTACCTCCCGGGAGAGATATCAAGGAACAGGACCAAACATAACGGGTGTGGACCTACAAAACCAACTTTCCAAAAGTGATGGCTGTGCCATCCTTGCATTGGTTCCTAAGAAAGTCACAGTATTCTGTGGGCAATTTTAAGGACTATAGTTTCGGTTCCGTTTCTCTTTGTCCTTCTGGCAGGAAAATTATTTGGACCCTAAATTTACAATGAAATGAGGTTACTAACCTTAAAATGCACCTCAATGAGCCCCTAACCTCTACCATAGTCCCTCCTCTCAAAGCTGATGCCAATACAATGTTCACTGGTGACCATCAATGCTGAGAAATTCAACATGCAAGTGACGACTATTCCACTCAGTAGTTTCCTTTTAAAGGGACAGGGTAATGCCCTGGCCTACGGGAATCTCATGACGGCTTTTAACATGGAGAACAGGAGAATGACCGACCACTCTGTGGGACTCTGTGGGCCTTGCCCTCGTGGGCCGCTGCTGGCAGCTTATCTCCTGCATCCCTCTCACTGGATTCCTCACTGACGGTTGAGTCAGCATCTGAGGGGGAAACTCTGTAGACACAAAACAAATTGCAAACATTAGAGAAGCAAGAAAGAACAAAAAGGAAAAAGGTCACATTGTTTTGGAAGTCAGGATTCAAATAATTATTTCATGGCACAGCATCTTCAAGGATCACATCGACAGCACACAGTTATCACACCCTGAAGACAGATTAACACGGCTTATTGAACCGCATTTCAACAAATGCTAGAAAACTAAGTGCCAGAGTTGGGGAGCTACTAGTGCCCAAGGCCCAATATCTGACCAGGGTCATTTCTGACAGGTATTTTGGGCCCAAACTGGATCAAAGAGAATCTGGGATTCTGGCCTTGTTTGGGGTCAACTGGACCTTGAGAATCTCTAGGAGGCCAGGGCCAGTGTAGTTATGCAATCAGTCCAAATAACTCCAGAGCTCTGGAAGACACCTATTCTTACAACTCCAGGCCAATGACCCCTACTGAGATTTGATTCTGTCTATATATAAACATCAAGGGTATCACAGCACTCAGGTTGCCCCAGGCTGGGAAAAATTCTTAATCAGTCAACAAACCCATCTCCTTGGGCTCCCCAGCCTCTCAGTAATGTGAAGTGCCAAGACATTCTGGTACCCCTGAGCGATGCTAAGATATTACACAGTCATCCTTGTTATCTATGGGGCATTGCTTTTAAACCCTCATGGATACCAAAACCCATGGATGCTCAAGTCCCTTAAACAAAATGGCACAGTATTTGCATATAACCTAAGCTCACCCTCCTGTTTAAATCATCTCTAGGTTACTTCTAATATTTAATATATCATGAATGCTATGTAAATAGTTGTCATATTATATTGTTTTGGAAATAATGACAAGAAAAGGTCTGTACATATTCAATACAGGTGCAATTCTTTTTCCTAAGAACTTCTGATCCACAGTTGGTTGCATCCAGGGATGCAGAACTGAGAGCACAGGTCATGGAGACAATGTGACTTAATGTTTATGATGAGGCTAGTATGAGAGAGAAAAAACATTTCATAAAATTTTACTGCATGTCAAATCATCTTTAATGATTTGATTTATTCTTAGCCTGCAAAATAATTAAGCAAACAGCATCTCTCCAGATAGTTCATTTTCTTTCATAAAGATCATGCTCTAAAATCCATTAAATTCTGAAAACTAGGCCAGACCCCTGGGGTAGGTTTTCTGATAAGACAGAAATGATGGCACTGTTTTGAATATTGGAATGGACACCTGCTCTTTTGCTCTTCACAGCAAATCTGGAGCTAGAGCTCTAACACTCAAAGGAAAGCTGATAATCTGAGACTTCTGTAGCCAAAGCCTGATGGTACTATGAGCTTAAGTCAACTCCACAAAACCTGATCCTAGGCTCTGTCACATCTAACACAGTTCTAACCTTCTCGCAGGAGCCTGGGGTGATAAGGGACTTCATGGTAGCAGGGAAAATGAATAAGCAATTCTCCATGTGCTCTAGTTTAACACACAGAATTGGAACTAAACTGGAAGTATATGCATCCTGACAGGGAGGAAGTGGTGGAGAGTCCCTTGCAATGTGCTTATAAGGGGAGAGCATGGGCAGCCACAGGAAAACAGAGCAAACAGTAGGACGTGATGAAGGTCAACTGCAGACAAAGCAGTGATGTCATGGCCAGCCATGGGCATAACAAGCAAAAGCAAAGAAGCCAACACTGGTTGAGTGTGGGTCATGCAATTTCTATACATTCTTTCTCATTTACCTCCACACGGCCTATCACACTCAGCTGAGAACATATACACTTGAGCTGGCCAGTCCTTAATCAAGTCTGAGGGCCACTGCCAACCCATCACACACGGTGATTACTCATCCTGAACACTTAGGGAAAGAAACTGTACAGTCTGCTCTGGCAGCCCAGTTGAGTGGATAAAGAACACCCTTGGATCTGTGTGTGACTTTGGGCAAGTCAACAGTATCCCAGCTGCAAACCCAGGGCAATACTCACCATCAACCCTTCTGATATTAGAAACTGACAACCTGAAAACAGAAACATGCTCTGCAACAGAACAATCCAGAAAGCCCAATAATGACCTTCCTCTGTGGCGGATGTTCTTAGACGGAATCTTTGACTTGGGGCTTGGCACATCTCCATTTTCAGAGGGTGTGGTGTGGTCCTTCACAGGTCCTGGCAATGGTGCTGGCTCATGAATAATCAATATGTCGTCTTTATTGTGCTGGCCCAGATGCTGCTTAGCAAAGTCGAAGCCCTTCACACTAGGAATCTGCAGCTAAAACACACACACACACAAGCACATGCACACACATGCACACACAGGCACACACACACAGAACAAGGTGGTTAATGTGAGGAATCAGGACTGTGATGAGAAGCTGAGTGGGTTAACAAAAGGAACAAAACCTCTGACCCCAGACTATGCTGGCAGTGCCACCAACCCAATTTAACCAGTACAGTTGTGCTTATGAACAGAATTTGTGACAGATGCTAGCAAAAGATTAAACAAGAGTATAAACTATCTAGCAAGAGCACAGTATGAAGGCCATTACAAGGCAGCACTGGCCTTGTTGTCACAGTGGCATACCATGTGCTGAGAGATCAGCAGGGTGAGACATTCTTTATAGGGAAAGGGGGTCTTGAGCCAGGCCTTGAAGACTTAGAAATAAAAGGAGTACACTACAAAGAGCATGTTCTAGATGGTATCATGTCAAGGACCAGAGAATACTCGAGGCCTAGAAGAATGAGGTCATGCTAGCTGCACTGAAGGGGGCAAAATGCAGTGGCACTGAGTGAGAGAGAGAAGCCAGCCAGTACACAGAAGACTCCAAATGCCAGCTTCAAGAGCTCACCCTCTGGAAAATCAGAAAACTGCTAAATATTTCTAAACAGGCAGATTTCTAAAATCCAAGCAGATGGAACAGGAGAGGCCAAAAAGACAGACTACTAGTGCTTTGTGTATGAAACCAGGAGCACTAAGAAAATGGGAAAGAATGTTCAGCTCTTGAAATCAGGCAAAAAGAACTTGAAACCAAGCAAACATGAGAGATAAAGGAATACCAAAAAGCCAGTAATGACCTGAAAGTTTTAGGCAGGGCAACCCGAACAGCAGAAGTAACAGTAAGGGAAAAAGGTGAGTCATGAAGGGATGATGCCTGGAGCAGATAAAATGACAGTTTTCACTTTCAATGTGCTTAGTTCTAGATGACAGGGAAGGCCACAAAGGAAAGCCACCTGGTGAAGCTGGAGACAGAGGACAATAGCTTAGGGGAACTATAGGCTGAGAGGTGACAATGAAAGCATCTGTACAGAGGTGACATGCAGAGAAGTTGGGAGTTTTTTTGAGATAAATACAAGTTCTATGGATAAAATGTTGCAGAACATCTAAGTTTGGGACTGAGGAGAAGAAAAGAACGCAAGGAAGAAATTAGATGACTTCAAAGAACAGAGGAATTTGGGAGTTCAGTGTAATAGAAGCCAAGGGAATAAAGGACTTCTAGAAGGAGTGGTCAACAGAAGTGATGGCAGCATAAAGCTGAAGGGGAAAGGGATCTTCAGGGAATGTCCACATTCACACTGGTGGGTGCAGTCCTCCTCCCCAGGCACATGCAGTCCAACCAGTGCCACACCCTCCACTAGCTGCACCTGCACCAGGCTTCAGCTTCTTAGCCTGTGGTGAGGTAAGAAGGACATTCAAGGCACCCAGAGACATGGTACATTTTTGAAGATACCGTTTTGATGACACTAAAAGGTCCAGGAGTGGGCATTAGCAGTTTCCATAAATCCAGCCTACGAGGACTGGGACATAAGAGCTGTCTAGAGAGGTCTTCTCAGCAGGAAGCCACATGCAAACAAACTAAATCTTCGGGCTGTGCCCATATCTACAGATCGTTCTATCTGCTAAAAGACGACAGTCACATAGGGCTCAGGAGTGGTCTCAGACAAAATACTGTACGTAGAAACAAAAGGTATTGTGATATCTGTGTTTCTTTATGCACAAAAAGTGACACCAGAAGCTCAGGTCTCTCTAAGGATAAACATCCAGGGTCCGTGACAGAAGAGAAGCAGTCAGCAATAATAATTTACGTCAGCAGAGGGAGACAAAACTTACTGTAAAGATGGTTTACAGAGCTGCTCAGAAACAAAAGGCACATTCTCTAACTAAGGAGCTCCTGTTAGAAGAGCAGGCCACTGGACCACTTGCCCCTAGGCTCAGGAACACTGCATGGCAAATGATAAACCACAACCTGCCTCTTGTCACCTGGTCTACCTGGACCCCTAGGGATGGGCAAATGTTTTCCTAGGAGCAGGCTGCCCTTTGCAGGGACCAAATCGCAAATGCACATACTTTTAACTCCAAGTGCCTTTCTAGAACTGCCCTCTCCCACCTTTAACAGTCCTGTTTCCATCTTTCAGAAGACAGCCCCTCCATGCCCCTTACCCATGCGACAGCTTCCTGGGTGGTCTGTCCAGAGGTGTAAAAACCTCTGGGTCATCAGATAAAGTCAACTGAAAATGCTTAGCAGATCCCCTTCATCAAGACACAACAAGCCTGTGGTGTGGCCTCTTCTCCTGTCTTACATGCATTTCTTTAAGGGAGAAATATGGCCAAGAAACAGTATCATTCAATCCACATGGGATGCTGTGAACTCGATCTGCGGAGGAGGTGGTAGGAGCAGGGATGTTTCTATTTAACAACTCCACTTGCACCACCTCCCAACCACCAAAGAATGCCTCACTCACCAGAATAATCAATGAGAAGAAAGCAAAGAGGGCAGCAGTGAGATATCCTGAAGGCACAGTCTCATTTCATTCCAGGAACACACTCATGACAAGTCTCTGTGCTTTCCCTCTCTAGCTTAATAGCGGGATATAGAAGATGCCCAACAGTATTCTGGGAAATACCAAAATGCCCTAAAGTGCAGGCCAGCTGCAAGTTCACCACCCCCAGCAGTCCCAGAGCTTGTCAAGCACCTTGTTCACTGGGCTGTGGCCTGAGTCTTCAGGCCATATTTGTCAAAGGACAAAGGAGTAGAAATTTCCACGTCTATTTCTAAAAGATCAAAATTACTATTTCAAAGCAACAGTAACAAGTAACAGAGCTAAACAACTGTGCACTTCTTGAACATTTACTCAGACTTGGAAGGTATTTCATTAGCTTCTTTCAAACAATTACTGGACACTGCCAGTCTATGTTCAGGTCACTTAACACAAGTCTCTTTCTCAGTATTCCCCCCAGACCCTCCTCTGCTTGTTCATTTGTTGTCCTTGTGACTTATTACAGAGTGATGTATTTGGATTCCACTATAAATAATGTACTTAACAGCAATCATCGATATGCCTTTTGGAAATCACACACTTACTAGTTCAAACTTTTTCCTCTTTTGTTACAAATTTCCACAAAGATTCATCTGCATTCTGAAAAGCAAAGCATCTATGTATGAATGGGTAGAAGAAGAATTAGGCAAGCCAGAAAGAAACACCTGAACTGTAAAAAAATCAATTCCATGTGATTAGGATGTTTGACATGCTGCCCGAATTTATAAGATAAATATTATTTCCATCTTGAAATTACAAATCCACCTACATAATTCTCAAGTGTCTATCTGTTGAACCTTCTTTAAGATAGCTAGAAATTGAAAATTTGACACCAGTTACTCCTAGCTGATGATAAAAAATCCTAACATGAGCAGTTTCCAATTTTATGGGGTTGCTTTACTCCAGCTGTACCTCCTTTTAGCTCCATAAATAAAGTACCTCTAAGTGAAAGAGTAACAGATACAACCAACAGTCATCTAACCACACAGCCATCATTTAATAAATCTTGCTAAAATCCTTTTTGGTATATTTCCCAGTAAGAAAGTATATGCCTCTAAGGATTGAACACCAATCTCATTTACATGTTATGGGGTTTACTTTAACCAAACTGAAAGAGGAGCAACAGATTGGCCCCTGTAAGGAAAGGCCTCCAAAGGGACTGATGTGAAAATACATATAGCATCTGCCTCTACAAGTGCCGTCCACATAACCCAAGATGAAGCACTAAATCCTCCCTCGAGAAACCTTCAGGGCTCATGCAAGAAACAAACATGGAAATACATGCGAAATGTACTTATGAAATACTTCATAAATGCCAACATAATATGCAAATGAGATCAGCAGCATTGTCATTGCTGTTGGCTGATGCAACACCAAGCAATTAACATAAAAAGCTGAGCCCTTGGGCATCAGACACAGCCATAATGTCAGATACAGTATTTCATACGTTTGAAACAAGATGTGACATGTGGTAGACCCTCAGTAAATACATGATGACTGAATGAACTTCAGAAAGGTCAGTTGAAGCACCAAACTTACTGGATTTTATGAGGAACCAATAAAACATTTTATGTCATAAATGAAAAAGACAAGCCCTGTTGCCTTATTGTTGATTCTAACTAATCTTTAAATATACCCACTAGAGCCTTGTACTGCTCACTGGCTGGGTAAACCACTACCTTCTACAATAGGAACTGGGCAACTAATCTATGCTTATATACAGAACAAAAGCCTTGTGCACACAGGAGGAAAAAATGAGAGAAAACAGTGTCCCTCCCCCAATTATGGAATTCGCTCCTTTGTTTTATCACTACTTTTTGGAAAAGTATAACTAGTTTTTCCACTTCTTTTTTGTTTTTTAATCTAGGGTTAAGTGTGGCTGGCTTTGCATCCCAGCTTCCACATGCAGCAGAGGCTTCAATCAGTATTTCATAGAAGAGGAATCAGGGTTAATTAGAATCTTCAATATTCCTATTAGGCCCAGTTATTTCTGAACAAGGATGGCTCTTTTGTTCTTACTATATCATTGAGGGGACAAGCCACATTGTCTCTGCCCCACTGGAATGCATCAATGACAAATGAGGGAGGTCTACCCAAGCAGGTCAGCCAAGTAACTAGAGAGATGTCTGATGAATTTTAAAACCCTTGGGCCATAAATAAAATCAGGCCCAGATGGAACAAGACACAGTAAAGTCCCCAGTGCTTAGGTTAGCCTGACCCCCTAGGAAAGGGCAGTTAAGATGACAATAGAAACCACAAAGCAAATCCCAGAAGTGTCTGAATAAAAATTGCAATTAAGTGGAGAGTGCCATTGTAAGCATTTGTTTATTTGATTGATGTAATTTGTGGAAAAAAAAAAAAACCAAAAACAAACCCACAACCACCACGCTGTTTCCATTTAGAAAGTGAAGACAAGGTCAAGTTATGGCCATCTGTTTGTCTTCAGCACTCCAGCAT